GAAAAGCAGAAAAGAATGAAGATATCTCCATGAACGTTACAGTAAAAGCATTAAAGATATATGAAATTCTCTGAGGAAAAAGAATAGGGTAAGAAAAACTGAAAATGATTAGAATGTCCCTATCTAGAATAGGAAAGTAAAAACAAGAAGGATTATCAAACAGGAAAATAAAAGAATCAGAGAAATGGGAGGAAGAGCAAATGGGAAGAAGTCAAGGTAAGAGAGCAATTCAGGAAACTGACACCATAATCAAATATACCATGAAGTTGAAACAGAAAAACGCTGATAAAACACAGCTGAATTTGATAGATTACCAGACTAAGAATAAAGAGATAAAAATACTTTAGGTTCAGGAAAAGAAGAGAATCTATAAACCAGTTTGGGGAAAAGTCTGTGTATGAAATATGTTTTATTAACAGATGAAATGGGAGGGGGAAATAACCAACAGAAACAAAAAAGGGAAAAGAAAACAACAGAGACAAAATGTATATAAACAAGCTACAATAATACATTTTGCACTCTTAGGATCATTACTCTAAAAAGTGCTAGAGAGTGTAATGATCCTAATGAAAAACAGATTTCACATTTAACAGTAAATTATTATCACTTCTCTAATTGCTGTGCATGGAGAATCTATAAACTCAGACACATCCCTAACCTGGTTTGCTGCTTGCTTTAGTGCCCTTTAAGGTAGCCGATGGTGTTGGGAGGATCTTTGCAGGTGTGTAAGTATTTAAAGACACTTTTCTTCTCATTATTGGACTGGAACGCGAGGCTGAAAAAGACAAACAAGTATGGTAATTTAATAACTTCCTGCCAATTGTGTGGTAACATTAAGGAATATTTCTTATGGCGTAATTTAGTGAACTCTAAAATCTGTGTAACAATAGTAGAAAATAGACAAGTCAAGCTCTGCACAGTATATTCAGAAATAATCATCTTTCTTATAAAAGGCAGTTCTCTCACGGTATTAGCCAAAATTTTGTTTATATTGTAAGTCATAAGCATTTTAACAACATACACCAAAGGAATGCTGACAAGAACAGAGAAACAGGACCCGAGTTCGATCCCCAGTACCAAAAAAAAAAAAATGAATAGAGAAACAGGGGCTGAGGATTTAGCTTAGTGGTTCTGGTGCATGCCTTGCAAGTGCAAGGTCCTGAGTTTGATCCTTTGTACCAAAAAAATAAAATAAATAAATAAAAAATAGATAGCCAGTGATGCTGAACACTTAAACAAAAATAGAGAAATAGGCTTAATTTCATCTTGCCCTGATAAAAACTGAGGAAGGATGACTAAGATGAGTAAAAATTTTTTTAAACACTAGAGAATTAACAGTATCTTTTCCTTTTTTACAAATACCACAAAATCAATGTATTTCCAGGTATATGAAGCTACTTGCTTGGCAACTCAGAGAATTAAATGTAAACAATATTAATATACTTTCATAAATATTAAATATGAAGTTACTCTATAAAATGTAAGATTCAGATACTTTTTTTTTTTTTTTTGGTACCGGGGATCGAACTCGGGACCTTGCACTTGCAAGGCAGGCAGCAGAACCACTGAGCTAAATCCCCGGCCCTCAGATACTTCTTTTGCAGTTGGCACAATACTTTCTTTAATATTTAAAGAGAATGAAAAAAATTAAAATCTTAGAAAACTTGGATTTACGTTTTGTTTAACCATAGTTAAACCAATTAGTTGATTGTTCTCAACTATGTTTTAGCTATCTCTCCCTCCCTACCAACAGTAAACTTTTCTCAAATGAATCTTAAAATAAAATGGACTACAACAGACACTCTGGATGAAGCAGTCATGGAACACACAAGCCCTAAGTATTTACCACCCTTTTCTTCATCATAGATTTTCAAAGGCTCTGGGGAATATAGCTTAGGGAATGATGAACTAGATTGTCTCTAAACCTTATGCAATTCTATCAACTGCATTAAGTAACTTTCTTTCTCATCTAGTTCTTTTAATAACCAATAGCATGACATTTTATGAGCTGGAGGGACTGGGGTATAATTTGTACCCATGCTACAGAAAGGAACTAAATAGAGAAACTGGAAAAGACATCTATGAATTAAATACAAAAAGAAGCTGCCCCAAAATGACAGAACCATGGGATAAACTTTAAAAGAACCCCAAAAGCACAAGAAATAATCCCAACAAATAAAAAAATGGGATTATATTAAAATATTAAATTAAAAAGCTTCCTCACAGTAAAATAAAGAGTAAAGATAACCTTCACAATGGTAAATATTCTTTCCCAGCTACTCTTAAGATAGAGGACCAATATATAGAATATATAAAGAACTAAAAAAGAGTTAGACACCCCCAAAACAAATGACCCAATCAAAACATGGGGAAATGAAATGAACAGACATTTCTCAAAAGAAGCACAAATGGCCAAGAAGAATATAAAAATATACTGAACATCTTTAGCCATTACGGAAATATAAATCAAAAAACCCTAAGATTTTATGTTAATCCAATAAGATGGCTATCATCAAGAACAAAACAAATGCTAGAGGAATGTGGGGGAAAAGAAATCCTACATTGTTGGTGGGAATGCAAACTAGTACAACAGTATGGAGAAAATAGTATGGAGATTCCTCTAGAAACTACACTTGACCCAGGTATACCTCTCTTGGATATTTTCTCCCAAGAATTAAAGACATCATACTGTAGAGATATATGTATACTCAAGTTTATAGCAGTGCAATTCACAGTTGCCAAACCACAGAAGCAGTCTAGATGTACAACAGCAGACCAATGGACCAAATAGATGTTATATATTTACAAAATGGGGTATTATTCAGCCATAAATAAAAACAAATTCAAGCCATTTGTAGGAAAATAGATGGAATTTGGGATCATAATGTGAAGTGAAATAAGATGCAGACAGTCAACTATCACATGGTTTCTCTTATATGAGAAACCCAAAACATAAATAAAGGCTAAGGGGAGAGACAGTAGGAATTAGAAAGATAAACTCCTTTGGTATGGGGAAAGGGAACAGAAGAGGTGAAGGGAGAAGGAGGAAAGAGGGAGGGAAGAAAATGATCAAATTACTGTATAAATGTACCAATTTCCTCAAATGCCTATAATTATGTATCACAAGCATATATCAATTAAATACAAAAAGGTTTTTTGTAAATATTCCACTAAAATTCTCTTTTCAAAATAAGATGTCATTATTGCTGTCATTCATTGTAAATCTAAAATTAAATGGCATTAATAGCTACTTCAAACCTTTACTTTCTTATTAGAAGTTTCCTTTAGACTAAGACTTCAAATCTCCATCTCAGGAAAGCAACAAAACATCAAGTACATATAAGGGAAAATGAGTAAATTAGAATTTCTTTAGATTATCTATTCTGAGGGAGCAGCACTGTCTATGCTATCAGGTTATAGATATTAAAAAAGAGAACTTTCTATTTCCTGACTTTGACTTTATAGCTATTATTTCATTTGAAGTACTATCAAAGCTCAGAATCAGACACATTCATATGAAAAGTATGAAATTAAAATCTCCTCCCCAAACCCATTTCTAAAATGAAATATTTTAAAACATACACATAAAGATACTGCTACATTACCATTAATGATTGAAAACTGATTTTAACTACCAGACATGGAAGGAAAGGGAAAGGTCACTATATTCTGGAGATTCAGGGGCACTATTAGGACAGAACACATTGTGAATAATACTCTAGAATTATACAAAGAAAGAGCAAAACAGCAAGATATGAAAGTGGCGTTCATTCCAAGAACTGTGGTACCTCATTTTATTCTTTGAAAAAATACATTTACAGAACCTCAGAAAATAGAGAATGGTATACAAGGAAAGCCTGCCACTTTTTGAAGATACAACCTAGATGCAATATTCTATCTCTAAGCAAAGCACTTTCCCTTAAAACTAACGCTGCCCAAACTAGAAAATCTAACATGCAGAGGAATGCTATGGTATCCAGCTGTAAATGACAGCTGAGAGCTACTACCTAAGAAGGTAGTCCTGAGCATTCCTTAAAATGATATCCCTCAAAATAGTATACCATATGATTTTTAATGTGTTACCAACAATTTTCTAAAAAAAAGCTTGACAAAATCTGGGGTATACAGAGTTCTTTACAGAACTTCAGCCTTGTATGTCAACAGAACTGCATTTCTCCAAAGCGAGGCAGGAAATAATACACAGTTTTCTTACTTAGCCATAAACTCCTTTCCATAGTACACATGAATGAACCTCTTCAGAGTACCTTCCAAAAAACAGATTTTGAAAATTCCCTCTCTAATTAAGAGCTCCTTCCGACTACTTACCGAAAGTGGTAAGGGGTTAGGCACATGTGTGTGTGTTATTTAATGTAGACTGATCGTTTTGTAAATTATTTTAAACGATTGTTATAAAATGACACACAATAGGAATGTGAGATTTTCAGCAAACATAGTTTTTAAAAAATTACTACAATGTTTTGGGTTTTTTTGGTATCAGAGATCGAACTCGGGATCTTGCGCTTACGAGGCAGGTGGCGGAACCACTGAGCTAAATCCCCGGCCTTAAGAAATTTATTACTATATTATACTATTGACTTCTATTGATGGGTCTTAGACTTTTCCTTTTATAAGAAAAAGATTTTGGGGGAAGAATCAAGAAAAGTTGTATACTGCATATTACACCAAAGAGTTATTAATAATGTCCTTTTATATTATTTTTTCTCCTAAAATCCTATTCATTACTACTACTTGAATTTACATTTTTTTAAATTTTTGTAATGTTTAGCTAGTATCTACTGAATTAAACATTAAGTAATAATGATGGTAAATTTTCCTACAAATTTCAGGGGTCTTCCATGGAACTTCACTTGATGGAGAAGCAATGGAAGCAAGAAATTCATCCACCTGCTTTAAAGATAGGGCATTGTGAAGAGTTTCTAGAGGACAAATAGATGGCACCATAGAATACAATTCAAAACCTGTAAGAGAAAAGAAAAAAAAGAAAAATGAAAAAATAAAGTTGGACATTTTAAAAATCAATAATCAAAAAGGAAGATGATCATTGCTTAGAACTGGAAGTTTAAGTCTTTTCAATCTATCACATGCAAACATACAAGATCTCTCAAGTCATGACACCAGATGCTATGCAATATGGAACAGAAACAAGATGAGACAAACATTTTATTTTAAATATATGCACATAGTACAGCATGCACACAATTTCTTTCTATATTGGTAAAATCTAAGAATAATATTTAAAGAAGAAAACCTAGGAGAAAAAAAAGAAGAATTTTCAGTTTTTGTTTTTAAAGTCAGGTATACTCAACAGATGAATAAGCTGATGTCTGGATACTGAAGGTAATGTTAGAAAACAATTATATAATTACTTAGGAAGTGTGCTTTTAGACACTTTTCTAGGCATGCCAAGGTCAACAATCCTCTCTGATGTGATCCTAAAACAACATTCCTTCACTTCTGCTGGAATTAAAATTCTGAAACATATTACACCTACCTTTATTGAATGAGCACCAATAATTGTATTATTGGAATTCACTGGTTGAGTAAAGTTAGGCCATGTAAAAAGCAATACAAAATACAAATACATTCATATTTAACAATGGCACAGAAATACAAAAATCTCATGAAACAATCATGCAGCTATCTATGTATTAATACCATCAGTGAAAAAAAAGCACTTAGACACACAGTTCCCTTTTATAAACAAATAGGATACAGGTTGTTCACTTTAAAAAAAGAAAATTGTCTATTTAAAATGTATTTAACTGAATGGCTTTTAAAATTGCTTTCATATACTGCTAAAATAACAGGTCTTTCTGGATCTACTTTTTCAATAACTCAAACTGATTCTCCTCCAAAGAAATACTTTCAGTACTTAAATTAAGTTTACATAAACATCCAACACCATTACTTAAAAAGTTAAATTTAATTCAGACTGCAAAATAGAACTACGGCAGGCATGTGCCCATTTAAAAATTCTGGGCTCTTTTACTTAAAATTTGGGAGGAAATATTGATCTGAAAACTGTTGGAATTTTCAGGAGGAATAGGGAATTTCATTGATTAAAAGGGAATCTAATCTTCCTATGAAAATAACCAAAGGCCTTAGAAAATTGATGTGCTTGATTATCAGGTACAAACTGAAGCATGACAGAACATTTACACATACTTAAAAATAAAAGAAAACTACAATACCATAATAGCAGCTAAAATACCTAAGTTAAGCACTAAAGAAATTAGGCTTGCACAACTGTTACATTTTTTTAAAAGTACAAGATTCATGCAAATAAGCGCAAACCCTTTCTTTGCATTACACTACACAGACTGTGTTTTTCTCCTTTCCTCAGGATGTTTATAGCTCTTCTGTAATAGTTACTTTCTTTCATTTGCCTGCTAGATGTTTTAGCAAGCAAATGATAGTATAATCACATTCCTCTGGACTCCATTTTTTCCCATTTACCTTTAGGAAGCTTCTCTTTTAATGTACAATGAAAGGGTTAGCGCAGCAATTTAAAAAGCCACCCTGCTGACATGTTTAGAAGCTATAAAAACATACCACTGGAGCCTAGAAATTCCAGAGGAAACGGACCAGCACCTATAGAGGTGTAGGTGTTCTGCACAGAGGCCCAGAAAATAAGGTAAAGCACTGTCAGAAGATACTTGTTTCACCATGTTCCTTGGACTAAAGATGAAGGGGCGGGGGGGAGGAGTCCATGACATGTGTTAAAGATGGAAATCACATGAAAGTTAGGGGAAATAAAAAGTGAGAGGAAGAGTCAAATGACAATTTATAGGACAGATAAGACAACATAGCATAAAAAAAGAAAATAAAAGAAGCAAATCTTGAAAGGCCAAATGAAATATTTCTAGAACTGAAAGGAATGCATTTTATGCACATTAAATTGTATAATATGTGGAAAAGCCACATTTTCTTAAAAAGCCTAAATTAGATGACTATATAATTACTCTATTTTCAGTTAAATTTAACAAAAAATTATTATTTTTTTATCTTCAGTAAACACAGAGTTCTCCTAGGTAAAATCTGCAACACTGGTTATAAACACATAAGCATTCGGTACAAAACCTATAGTCTTAAGCCTGGATCATCTCTTCTTAGAATTTTGTTTTCTTTGTGACTTGTTTTCTTTGTGACTTCTGTTTTTCTTCTAAGAGGTTCTTATTCATATGATAGCATTAGAAACTGCAGCCGTATCAAATGAGCATCTTTTTCTTCAAAAAGTAGCATTTAAAGAGCTACAATGGATGGAAAGCACATTAAGCTTTAAGGTTAAAATTTCACTTGTTGAGGATGATCTTCTCACTCCACCTTTAAGAAGTTATTAGCGTATGTTATCTACATGTGTTAAAATATCTGAAAGGGAGAGAATGACTATAAACTTGTATTGAATCCTTAAGCTTCACCAAAGTTTGAGTATTTTTAAAGACTTATTTGTAGTTAAAAATAAGAGTAAAAAAAAAAAGTACGCTGATTCCAAATAAAAAGCAAAAACCTGTAAGTATAAAAAAATTATTTGGCCCTCAAGTATTTTTAAATAATGAGTAAAACTCTCTCGTCCCACAACATCAATCTTTAAGTAAAAGCTGTAATACTTCAACAATTCAGTTTATAAAGAATGGTCACAAAATTTTCTATTCAGCTTCCAAAATTTAATTAAATTGACTTTCTAAATTTTAACTTAAATCTTCTTCCCATCAAGAATCTCCAAATTTTAAGAAAAAGTAATGGTACTAAAAGGAATTGGTTGCTTGATAATGGCAAACCGTTTTGCTACATGAGGACAAAGTGAATGCTGGACAGTTTTCAGAATGCTCCAGACCAAGTCAGTTTTGCTTAAACGAAGAGTCAGGGATAAATAATGTTACACAGTGAAATCTGCATCACCTTGTTCCCAACAACTTTTCAAAACACTTGTCATTTCACTATTTGACGTGGGCCATTTTGTATTTTTGTTAAATATCTCAAATAACCATGTGATCAGAAAAGGAAGCAGGAAGAAAAACATTAATATTAAGGACAAATTAAAGAATAGTATTTCTTGGATTTAAAAAATTTATGTCAACTGATCACTTGAGAAATTAGAATTTTCAGGCATTAATTTAGGATTCAAATTCATCACTGTGGTTATTTAAAAGTTTGACGAGTAATGTTAAATTATTGTGTAGATTATAGCTAAAAGGGAGCTAGACAGTATCAATAATTTGGGTAAATAAATTGGAATTGTATGCCAATTGAAATTAAGGATGAAGCAATGAATGATACTGTATACCCCGTAATTTGAAATAAAAGAAAAATTAAAAAGGGATGAAGCAGGGGAGTATCTTTTAAAATAAAAGCAAAACGTACCATTGGTTGGGTGTCGAGCAAATGAGATAGAAAACCTTTTAACAGCAGAACCGCGTGTGGCGTCTGAGAAAGAGAAAAACAGGTACCTGAAATTCGTCACAGCTACCAAAAGAAGAACACTTAAAAAAAGAGGGGAAAAACAAATATATGAGGAGGTTAGAATTAGGTGACATGCAGAAAGGACAATGAGAGAAGGTAGTAAGCCAAATACTGGTTAAAGCAGTAACCTGGCTTGAGGACAAAGGCAAAAGGTGTAATGAAATATACAAAAGAAAGACAAGCAGGATGAACTGCCAATTTTGCTGAATCCATGTTTTACTGACTAAAGTAAATCTGTGGATATATGAGCAAATGTTTTAAATATTACTGATCCCGAAAGAGCTGAAAACATCTCACTTATTAGCAAGAGGGACATGAGCCTCAAAGGCATTCCGAATATCAAAATATCCAAACTTAAAATACATTAACAGTGATAGGACCTCCTATAGCCAGGAATCCTAAAATATTTATATTTCCTCTATTAATAAACATTCTATTCATTTAGTTCAAAATTGATAAGTAAAATAAAGGTTAACAATGAACAAAGGTTTAAAAGATTGAAGAAAATTTATTCTTTATAATATGAATTATCAATTTCCTATAAGAATACTCATGTTGTAGGTCTAAATTTTCCATTTCAACCAACTATTTACTGTTGATGTAAGTCTAACTACAATTAATTGACAAAACATGGGTCCAAACTGTAGATAACAGAGAACACTGATAGTTGCTTAGGTAAAGGGTGCTGGGATTCCACTTGAATCAGTCAGTGGCCTTAGACTTGCTTTGAGAAATACTGCTCATGGGCATGTGCGTGGGTGTAGGTATGAACTTGTGTGTGCATGTGTGCACATACCATCTATGCAGCCAGAAGAGGTCAGCTTTTTACGATGCGTACGAGCATAATCCTGTAGGTTAGGTGCACTTGAAGAACCCCCGAGCACTGAGGTGCTAAACAGGCCCGCACAGTGAGACCCTGATGGGAGTTAGAGAAAATACATACAACAACGGGTGTTCTTCCATTCACATTGGGAATTCATGCAGCATGCAGTTAACATGGCTCTTACCAATACGCAGGCAGCCCTTGGCAGTGCCTTCAACAGGCTTACAATATGCTTGTAATGTCCTAGTGATATCAATTTTAATACAATGCTTCTAATAACTATCATCATTTATCATATGTATAAATGGGTTAATTTAATACCACATAAAATGTTATTTTTGAGTAAAAACAATATGCCCACACAATAATTTGATATACACATCCTAAAAGCATTAAAGACACTATCATAACTAATTTAGGAAAAGAAGGGATTCTGACAATCAACTTGCAAGAGTAGGCTATAGAAAAAAACCCCTTCCCTAGTAAAAATTAAATTATATTAAATCAATACTTTTGAATGGAGGCCTATAAATGAAGAATCTTTTCTGATGCCCCTAAAAAATGTCATCATTCTTTTGAAATAAAGTACATCGAAGCTTATGTATTTGTGACACCAGGCAAAATAACTTTTCTTGAGTCACTCAGGCTTAATCCATTTTCAATTTCTAAAACTTAACAAATGACCTAAGACCTTAACTAAAGCCCCTGATAAAACACATCATCAGCAAGTAAAACACAGCCAATGTATTTTGATGCTTAATTTGAAGCAAGTCTTTACACCCAGGTAAAACTTCCTCTACCAGGGAAAGATTAAATGAATTTCTATCAAATATACTATGCAATTCAATATGAAGGGATAACACATAAATCTCCATAAAGACATGGTAGGAGTATCGAGGGCTATTAATGTTTCTAAAAGGTCTTTAAATATGTAGGCATCAACAGAATTTATATATTGGTATACAGACTGCGGGACACATACAGTTTAAATTTACAGTGAAATCTATTTATTAAACCTATTTATTGAATCTATTTATTAAACCTATTTAGACAACCATTCACAGAAAATAATATCCCATTACCTCCTGTAGTTCATCATACATGAGGTTAAAACCAATGAACTTGAAAAAATGTTTTCCAATGTGCTCTGAGTGTTGGCAAAGAAACAATCATGTTCTGCAGTTCAATAAAAAGTAAGTCTACCCCTATACATTAGTTTTGCTTTGGTTTTCCTTAAGAACTGCTCAAAAAGAAAATTAACATACCTAGATAGAATGTGAAACACCTTAAAATTTTTTCTAATCAGAAAAAACAAAAGGTTCTTGTTTGCATGCAATAAGACCTTTGCATATACATCAACTCAGTAAATAGTTTTCTTTTTAAATTAACTTATAAAGTATAAAATTAAAAACTAACATTGGCAAGTGAATTGGTTATCACATTGGACAAAGGGTTACACAACAAAATTAAATGCTATTTCTTATAATACCAAAACTTAAGGCGCTGGGGATTTAGCTCAGTGGTTTTGCCGCCTGCTGCGCAGGCGCAAGGACCCAAGTCGATCCCTGGTACCAAAAACAAAAAAGAAAAGGAAAAAAAAAAACTTAATTGTGTATTCTGAGTTGTATAACTCAACATTTCTGAATTAGTATGCATTAAATACAAACTAAAGCATAGCATTTGGTCATGTTTTTTCCACTAAAGAGTTTTACATGCGTGCACAGCATTGAGTGTAAGAGGGTATGAAACAGTTTCCTTTATACCACATACCTACAGTAGGGTTCTGCTTCTGTTCCACAAGAGTTCTTGGTGTTCGAAGGTAATTAGCATTTTCAGATACAACCTGCACAAGGAAAGCAAAATAAATGAAACAAAGGGTTTTAAAATAAATTCAAAAGTCCATATGCAGCCTGTTCCAGACAGACAAGGTTAATAAGCTGTATGGTAAATATTAGTAGAAATACATAAAATATGAGAATCATGCAAGATCCCCTTCTGAAGGGAGTCCATTTCATACAAGGTCCTTTCAATGAGTGGTGCAAAGCAGGCATTCAGAATGAAACATCATGTATGAGACAAGACAGATGAAAAGAAACAATTCATAGATTGATATAATTTCACTCTCTCTTAAAAGAAGCAAAATACCCACTCTTAAACAGCTCCTGTATTTCAAGGGGGAAAAAACAATCACAAACAAAAGAAAAGACAGACAGACTGCTGAGGTCACCATACAATTACTGATCCATGCATGGGCTTTATCAGAGTAACCTTTAAGTATTTACAGCTTTAATGGATACCATAATCCCTTTTCCTATAATCATATGTATTATATTTCCAAAAGGAAATTGCTGAAGTTATCAGAAAAGTCACGTGTTACAGCGGATCTTCCATTGTAATAAAAATGAAAGTATTTTAAGTTTCCAAATGGCATCACAGAAAGTCCTTCTGAAGTCACTTTATTTTGAACCACACTGTTGATGGGCACATATATATTTGGCCCCTCTTGTCAGACACTTCCAGATAAAGGAATAGTGAGGGAGAGAATGGTCACTATTAGCTCTATCTTTTTGATTAACACTAAGTCACATAAATTTTAATATTTTTTAAAATGTTCACATTGTCAGCAAATTCCAAATGTAATCAAGTTTCTCAATTATAGGTGAAAAGTTAGTAAATTTTCTTACCATCAAATTCCATAGTTTTTTCCTGAAAGTTTTAAGACAACTAAAGTCAAAGAAAGATTTATTTCCTTTTTAAATAATTTTATTAGCAAGCAGAAGTTCCAGGAGAATAAAATTTATTTTTTTTATATCCTGGATATTTAAAACCTGCCCAGTAAAAATGCTGCACACATAAAATGTAAGTGGTTTCTTTCCCTCAAATATTATCAGATATCAAAAGCATTTTTAAATGAAGTAAAAAACAGAAGGATTTACTCTGATGTGAAACACAAGGGATTAGATGTCCTCAAAGACAGCTGTTTGTTGCTCTGAATGCGGGGAAGAAAAATGTTTAATGAAGTAAAGTTTTAAAAACCTGTTGCCATGAGCCAAAAATACTGGATGTGAAAGCCAATGATTTGGGGGAGACAGGGGAAGAAGTGATTTGTTCCCCTGATCTGCGTCTTCGACGCCCAGTACCCACACCACTGGTATAATGCAGCCAGGTACCAGTACCCTCTGGGCTAGACACACTCAGGGGGCTCTCTTCCTGGAAGTGAGAAAAAAAAAAAAAAAAAAAAAAGCAGAGCATGCAAAGTTAGATACAACAGAGCCAAATGATCAGAAAGAAAAAAAAATACAGTTTGTTCTCATTTGCTTATCAATTTTTAAAAAAAACTATCAAACTAATTTGGGAGCCAAATATTTCAATGTTCGAAAATTTGATAGGAATGACATAAATGTAATGTGATAACAATTATAGAAATACATTACTAAAAACATCTGAAATACTTATATGCTTAAGTTGTCTCTTCTCTCTTAAAACTGAAAAGATTTTAGTGTTCTTTTGGCAACTATTTAAATAGAATAGTATTCTGCTTAATTTTAGATATTTAAGAGATTTGAGTTTTGGATAAACTTTTCAACTCAAACACTACAGTACTGTACAGAGGGTTAAAGAAATTTCAGTGTACATAAATTACACACTAAAAAAAATCAGAGATTATAAAATGGATACAAATAATACTTGTTCATACTTGCAAGCTATCATTTGTTTACCCCCTCCAAAGACTAGAGTGCAGTAGGCAAAACATGCAGCAAACATTCTCATTTTACATGTTTGCACGTTCATATTTCAGACAATGAGGACAGAGTGAAATCTACTTGCACAAAATGAAGAGAATAGTCTTTTTTTCTTTGTGTCTTTTGGAAGTACAAACTTCTGGTATCCATGAAGATGGTGAACACTGAAAAAAATCTTCAAGGATTTACTTGAATAATTTACCTTATGGAAGGAAAAGTTTAGCATGGCATAGAAATATCTCTTAAAAGCAACTATTTAAGTATTCATGAGGAAAATGTTTAAAATGTGCCCTGTGTTTTAAGAATTAACAAGGGCAGTGATATTGAAGGCTTTACAAATACAGTGAGTGGCAATATACAATTTACACATTTTGCTGGCTTAGTGTTAGACACACTTTTTGGAGGGCAGAGGAAAGGGTTTTGTAGTGAAATTATTAACAATCTGATTAACTGTATACTGCTAGTTGAACAACACATCAAAATTACTCTCCTCACACAAATGGTGGTTTTTTTATAAGCTACAGTTGGTGGTTTTAAGTCATTTGCCAATTTTCTGAAATTCAGATAGCCGAACATAACCCTAGATTTCTTATTTTTCAATTAAGCTACAATAGAACAGATAATTCCAAGTTCTATAGTGTTAAAATCATTTTTAAACATCCTTTAAAAAAGTAACTGAAAACACAATGTTTAGGTAACCCTTATAAGTATACATTTTCCGTGGCAGTTATTAACAAGCTATTTTACTGACAGATATGGATAAATTTTTTCCTATACATAATTGTCAAACTTGAAATGTTATAAAATACAGGTTTGTATAATTTTGGGCTGTAAAAATGAGTACAATTCCTTTTTGTTTATATTCTTACCCACCAACTGCTAAAGTTACACCTGATTATTCAGATCTGGAATACATACATGTCAACAAAAAAATGTTCCTAACTTAAAAGTTTATGGTTCTTTCCATCTCAAGTCTAATTTCTTCCTTTACATTTTTATTAGAGCATTTAGAAAAGATTAATAAGCACTGACCTCAATCAGTACTAGGAGAATCATCCTACAGAGAACAGATAATTCAAAGCAAAAGTTAAAGTGTACATAGGTATTAAAAATTTACTTAAACTTCATTCCAAGTGCTTAGCATTGCTTTTAAATGTTATTTTTGTAGTTATTTAAATATTAGTCTATCAGTGAGTCTAAGAATTAGGTTAGCCTATTTATAGATCTTAATACAAAGGAAAAATTTTCAACTATATCATCAAGCTTTCAAATTCCTACCGGGCTTTTTGCAATAATGCTAACAGTCTGGAATTTTTTTTAATTTATTTTTTGTTGTACCGGGAACTGAATCCAGGGGCTTGCACAAGTGGACACCACAGTTCTATCGCGCTATGTTCCCAATGCCCCTCCCCACTCTCACCAAATTGCCCAGGATAGCCTTGAACTTGTAATCTTCTTGGCTCCCAAGTAGCTGAGATTACAGGCATGCGCCACCAGATACAATTTGGAATTAATATCTTAATATTAATGGAATCAGTTATTATTGAAACATCTCTGGCAATTCCTGCCTAGTTTGAATAAAAATTTAAACTGATCCATTAAATTAGGCTTTTAAAAAAGTTCTTTAAAGAAGAATAACCTAATGTAGCAAGACAAAAAAAAAAGGATTAGTTTATCATGTTCTTAGGCCTTGTATTCAATTTTGTTATGATAACTATTTATAAAACTCCCAATTCTAAAACTAATCTTTATTTTCTTAACTACCTCTATATGTTTATATTTTTTGAAATTTGTGAAAAAACAGGTAAAGTTGATAAAAACTTGGTAGGTTGCCAAGCTCCATAATTAAAGCTGTATTTTCTTTTCGGTTTTATTAATATATAGTTAGTTTACCTTATGAAAAAACATGCTCTGACACATACACTTACTTCATTTGTAGCCATCTTCCTAGATCGTGGAAGTGGAGACTTCCTGTGTATATGAATTGGCTCTGATACCAACGGTTTAAACAGTATTACGGCTCGATCAACCTCATCTCTTTTAGAAGTATGTGGTTCGTCATCATTATCAATTTTAAAAGCTCTCCTGCCTTCACTCTGAGCAAAAATGCAATACATTTTAAATTCAGATTTAAAAATTTCTGATTAACAAATTCAATTATCAACTACATAGTTACTGAAATATATCTATAAAAGCTTGTTTTCTAAGATGAATTAGTATTGGTTGAACTCTTATACCAGCCCAGTATGTTGGTTACTGTGAAGGAGATGACCAAGTCTCTGATTTCAAGAAACACATATATTCTGTGAAGAAGTTAACAGTAAAATGACAATAAAAAACATATAAAACACAGTATTTAGTTAAATTTCATCAAATGTACAAATAAATGCCTGTAAGGAAGAGGAGATATTAGGTTTGTTTATAGCAATGTTATCTGCACATAATTTATGAAGAACAACAGCATTTGAATTTATAATTTTTACAATATTTAAATTCTATTCCAAATATTTTTAATAAATGTGATTAATGTATAGAAAATAATGATGTTACCCATTAAATGTTATACTAAGTATTTGCCAGGTGCCAGGAACTCTACTAAGATATGAATAAGAAACAGAGATCGCAAGAATCTCACAGTATAAAAGACATACAAGTTGAATTTTATATGAAATATCCATTTATAGCAGAATAGATAAATTTGGCTGAAGTCATATACTAAAACACATATTTTAAGCAGTATGAATGGACAAACTAAAACTACATGCAATTATACTGATAAATCTTATAAACATAATGTAGGCAAAACAATCCAAGAAGGATATATAAAAACATCAAACTAAGGGCTACATAGACTATGAGGGAACTTCCTAAATGAGATAAGGAATATCCAAAACTTGAAGCAATCATGACAGTTTAGATATATTCATTTTATTCAACATCCATAACCATTCACAAATAATATGATCATAGATATACAAAAAGCTATGGGTCAATTATTAGAATGAATACCAGCATACAGAAAGTTTATTAGTTATAACATCTTTAAAAAATGAATTAAAATTCAATGTGGTAGTGACAAACAAAATGGAATTTAAATAAGCCATTATGATAGTATCAAAAAATATAAAGTCCTATGAATTCACCTGACAAAGGTCTACAATTTATTAAAATATCGTAATTTTGTCAAAGAGATATAAAGTATAGTTAAATAAATTCAGAAACATTTACCAAGTTCTTGTACTAGAAGATGCAATATTACAAAAGTATCTTTTTCTTAAGATCAGTTTGCAGAGTTAATGAAATACTAATCAAAATCCCCCAAAAGTTCTTTTTGGAACCTTACAAGACTGTTACAAAATGTTTATTATTAAAAGTTAAGAAATATTCAAGCTACTCTTGAAGAACAAACTGGAAGACTTCTGTGGCAGGAAATTTAACATTATACAGGTTTAAAAACTAAGACTGTGATATTGAAAAGGAGGGAGGGAGGAATGTGGGAAGAAGAGAGAGAGAAAAGAACCAACAAAGTAATAGAAAGTGCTCAGAAACTAACCTCCCAACAGTACTGCAGACAATAGGGAAATGATGAATTTCTTTAATATTTGGTCTTAGAATGAGTTATCCATACAGGGGAAAAACAGACACACACACAAACTAGACTCTATTACCACAAAAAACATAAGCCTCTAAAAAGCAAATCTCAGTGTATTAAAGAAATAAAGTACGAAAATGACTCCAGAGGAAAGAAGAATAAGAGAAACAATAAAGAACAATGCGAATACTAAATATAGAGACATGGTAGAGCTAAACCTTCTTGGAAGACATGCTGTGACATACATAATTACTTTAAGAAAATATAAACATACATTGTAATAGGCCACTATTCTACATCAGTATTCTAAAACATTCTAATATGGTACTTCAAGTCTAAATTAACACTTTGACTATAAACAATAATAATGACTGTGGAATTTAAAGTTTGCTTTCTAAAATAGAGTATATACAATCAAAGTGAATGACAACAATAATACAAAAGAGGAGATAGGGATTAAGTAAAACAGATTAAAATCTTCTAACACGCTTCTATTACCTAGTAAACAGTAAAAGTTTTATTGACTTTTAAAAGCCAGGGATTGATGTCATTAGTTCTAGGATAATTATTAAAAAAGAGTAAAATAATGTAAACTTGTCAGAGATATTATATTGGAGGGGGGAAATAACATCAAAGAAGGCAAGAGTGACAGAAAAAGGAATGCAAAACAGGTGGGACAAGCAAAAATTATAGGATGATTTAAGATGATGTAGTAAATCCCAAATAAAGTTAACATTTATTTTATAATATTACCATACTAATATATGCATATTATATATTTTTAATATAATAATGTTATAGACTAAAAACAAAGATTGTGAATGGATAAAGAATGGATAAAAATATAGCTTAAATATACATTGTTTAAAGCAGACATATAAATGTATGAATTCAGAAAGATTGAAAATAGAAATAGATACAGTAGAAGTACCATTTAACCTTTTCAATTAAGATTCTGTAAGAGAAATGAGTACTACCACATTAGCAGACACTGTATATAATAAATTAATGTCTGTCATGTGCATCTAAGCTGGTATCTCAATACTATCCCTGAACTGAGAATATAATCACTCAAATTATTCTGTATTATGTGCTTCAGATAAAGAATCTAAGAAAGGTTTATACTAAAGTCAAGAAACATTATTAGAAATAAATGGAGACTTCATAAAATGAGAAAAGGATTAAATTACCAGGAAGATAAATCAAAGTACGATTAGAAACAAAATGATTTATACATACATTTATATGTTTCTAATCAAACTGAAGCTCAAGATCAGCTAAGAAGGAGGAACTCCAATATATAACAGATGTATTTGAGTGATATATACCAATACTACCTGGCTACTTCTTAGTAAATTAGGATAAGAATTTACTCTAAGGGGAAATTAGAAATATATCAACTTTCCCATCACTTAATACCCATTCTGAATCATTTGAAACAATACTTGAATGAAGATGGTTTGGGAGTGCCAGTTGTGCTGAAGTTCTCCTAGCCTACCTCCTAGTTAGAAGCAAAACTAGATTTCTACTGGAGGAACATGATAGTATCAACTACAGGCTCAAATTTTCTCTGCAGTTTTCAATATTCAATATCCATCATTGGATCAATAGTAGCCTGGAATATTAGAAAATAAGAGATCAAAAAACAAGGGGAAAAAGCGAAAAAGAAATGGATCCAGAAAATGTTACTAGTTATAAATTTTATGGTAACCACAATTAATTATGCTCACATATTAATTAACAGCAAGACTAAGAATCTCAGTTAAGAACTAGAAATTATAAAAAGAACCAAATGGGAGTTCTAGAGCTAAGAAGCATTAACTAAACCCTACTTATTATGTCCTAAAATTAAGAACTCAATGATTGGATTTAAGAGCAGATTGAAAAATAACTAAAGATGGACTGTCAGACTGGAAGAGAGATACAAAGAAAATACTGTGTCTGAAGAAGAACGAGAAAAAAAAATATAAGGAAGAGTGTAAGAAATACATAGCCAAAGCATTTAAGATGCGTGATAAATCTAATACAGATATAAGTTAGGAACCGGAAGGAGAAGAAAAGGCAAAGAGTAATTATTTAAAGACAGAATTACTACCAATATTCCAGAAAGCAATAAAAGATAATGCCACAGGTATAAGAAGCTCTATTAACCCAGACATATCAAAGTTAAACTGCTGAAAATGAAAGACAATCATATAATAGTGAAAGCCTCTTAAAGAAGGTGAAGATTTTAAAAGAGCCAAAGAGACATAGAAGAGATGAAAAAATACAAAGCAAATGATAGGTACATTTAGCTTGAATACATCAGTAATTACAGTAAGTTAAATATGACAAATCAAAGGCCAAGATTATTAAAAATTATTAAAAATACAGGTTAAAAAAATCCAAAATCCATATGATGCTTACAAATAACACACGAGGTATAGAAAGATACAAAAAGATTAAGAGTAAAATGAAAAAGAAAAGACATACAAAGAAAATGATAAAGGTGTTATAGCTATAATGCCAGAGTAGACTACAAGGCAAGAAATATTTTCTAGGCATAAACAAATGACTTTTCATAATTAAGAAAGATAAAAGAAAGATTAAACAGTTCCAACTTGTCTGCAGAGCCTCAAAATGTGGTGCAAAAATACTGAACATCATAAGGAAAAAGAGATAATGATCTCAGTGGAATATTTTTTCATACCATTCCAAGTAGCTAACAAACAGCAATCAGACCAAAAAATCTTTTAAGGCTGTAAAAGATTAAACACTATTAATAAACTTTCCTGGCTGTCTGGTAGTGAACAAAAGGTGACAAAAAATACATTCAGGTATGCATGTGGCATTTATAAAGAATTAAGTATACACAACCCAATACTTTCTAAATATTTCAACACAAAAAGCACATCAAATATATCCTTTGACAGCAGAGGAATTAAAATAGAAACCACTAACAAAGGCTCATCGGTAAATTCTATATGTTTGGAAATTAAGCTATAAACTCCCAAAGCTATGAATGAAAAAAAAAAATCACACAGAAATCAACATATTCTGAACTGAGTGCTAAAACATACCTATGTGATGCAGGTAAGGAGATACTAAGATTTACTAAAGAGCTCCAAATGCAGCTATTAGAAAAAGAAAACTTTAAAAAAGAAAACTCTGAGTAGTCATCAAATATGTTAAGAGTTGTCAATAAAATAAACCCAAGAGAAGCAGAAGGAAGCAGAAAATTTAACATCAGAGGTTAAAGAAATAAAATATAAATGTACACTGGAGAAGATACAGAAGGGGAAATTATTAGCTCTCTGAAAAGATTAAGAAATCATAATTCCTTGCCAAAACTCATTTAATGAGGAATGACACATCAAGTTAGCACTACGAAAAAAAGAACGTCCTTACAGAGCACAGAGACCAGTGATGGGGAACCTTTCAGAGCTTCAAAGATACAAACAGCCCACAGTGGCATGAGTGCCATAGGTTTGCCACCTTTTGGACAATAAGATAATATAAAGATACGCAACAACTATATACTCTAAATTTGAAAATTCAAATAAAATCCAAAAGCCCAAATTACAAAAATGGATATAAAAAGACACTGGTGCAACCACTGGGGAAATCAGTATGGAGATACCTCAAAAAACTAGGATTAGAGGTCCCACTTGACCCAGCTGGGTATCTTCTCCAAAGAATTAAAAGAATCATACCACAGCGATATATGTGCACCCATGTTTATAGTGGCACAGTTCGTAATAGCTAAAACTTGCAAACAGCCCAACCGCTCATCAACTGGAGACTGGATAAAGAAGATGTGGGGTTTTTTTTATTGTATATAAAATGGAGTACTACTCAGCCATAAAGAATGAGAAACTAGAGATATTTATAGCTAAATGGATGCACATTGAGGCCATACTCTTAAGTGAAATAAAGTAAATACCAAGTAGTTTCTCTGGTGTGAGAAACTGAAAGTGTAAATAAGGATCAAAATGTATAACAGATAATTTGAAATAGGAAGAAAAGGTCCAAAGGGAAGGGGAAGAGGGAGGGGTAGATGAAAGGAAAGAAGGGAAAAGAATGTATCTTGTAAATAGGGAGGGGTGGAGGGGCTGAAGGGGAATGGGGAAAAAAATAACAACCAAGATATATCATTTAAAGGTACAAATTCCCAATGATAACTGTAATCATATTGTAGACCTAAAATGTACCAATAAATTTAATGGATTAAAGAAAAAGAAATCTGAATAGTCTATTAATTGAAGAACCAGAACATATAATTTAAAATATTCCCACAAAAATTCCATGTTCAGATGACCTCCAAACAACAAATTTTAACAAATATTTAAGGAAAAATTAATGTCAATCTTATATAAAATTTTCTAGTATTTAATCCTTAATACAGTAAATATTAAAATGCCAAGTGCTTAACACAGTTTAATGTGGAATAGTCCTCAAGTAAAACAACAATAAAAAACAAACATAACATTACCATTCTAAATACTGGGCTTAAAATCTAGTCTAATAAAGATAAAATTCTGAAATATTCTCTGTATAAAAATGTTATCTACCTAAATCATATTTTAAAAAGTTTAAGGCATTTTTCTACTTAGTAGTTAAGAATCGTTTACAGTAACTAACAGAAAACCTTACAGTAACCTGATGAAACTCTAAAGCTGTAGTATCGGAGCACTGAATGTTCCATCTTCATTACCTCTCTGGAAGCTGGTCTGTATCCATAGCCAGATGGTAAATTTTTATCTTCTTCACAACCTTTGGCTCCTGGACTAAAATGCAACTCAACATGAAAGCGTTCTTCTGAGGAAAGATCCTACAATATATGAAGAAACACTTTTACAGTAACTAAATTCAAGCCATTTATTTACCTCTGGCAGCACAGCCAAATCCAGAGCCCACTTACCTTGTTAGGGTCCTCATAAAGCATAATAACAATCTGAGTCATGTAGTTGAGTTCACTGACAACATTTAGATAGTCCATAGCTCGTTTCCACTGTTCATCCTTTGATTCCTGAATAAAAAGGATATGGTAAATATTTCCTCATATTGTATTATTTGAAAGTCACTTCACTGTCCTCACAGCAGCTTGTTTAATCCCGAGTGATATCACACACATAAGTTGTATACTAATGTGCACAATTTTTTCAAAATGACTTCATTTAAAAGTCTCAGTAAGTTTCTTAAGCTTGTTTAAATAAATTATTTTAAAAGTCTTTTGCCAGTAGTTCTTGAAACTCCAGTGGTAACTTTTTACAAAGTAGTTTATACAAAGTGAAAACTGAAAGTTCCTTGCAATACGTTACTCATTACTGAATTCAAAGAATAAGGAACAGTTTTAATCTTCTAAGCCCCAAAGTACCTGGTGTGGTATAATATAGGACACTATCCTGTAAAGGTAGTGCTTTTCTCTTTACTATCATATAGTCTCTGTATGTCACATACGCCTATCAGTAAAGATCCCTTATTTACTCTTATGGTTTTGATCAAAAATGGCCCCTAAAGCCTCATGTGTTTGAAAGGTGACTGGATGACACAGGTGTTATGGCTGACTTCTTGTTAGAAGGTGGGGCCTGTTTGGAGATAGGTCACCAAGTACATGACGTGGAAGGGTTACTCCCTCTCCAGCTCCTCCCTTCTCTTTCTGCTTCCTGGTCCCCAAGAGAGGAGCACCTTTCCTCCACCAGACCCTTCCTGCCTTGGACTGAAAATAAAGAGCAAAGAAATCTCTTCTCCTTTGAGTGCGAGTTTTGACCCAGCAATGAGAAAGTGACTAAGACATTCACAATGCAGTGATACTAAGAAATCATCAGAAGGAGGCATTTATAAGTTCTGTCCCTCTTACGATCTCCTTCACCATTCACCCGTCTTCATTTAGAGAATCACAGATCTTTAAACAACCACAGAGTGTCAGAAGTAAACAGGATCTTAGAGAATATGTACTACAGAGCATTCAAAGCAGAAATTTCTACCACAAAAAGGTAAAACTATTCAAATTAGAGTGGAAAGTTAATAGTCAACAGTCTACATGAGCCTCACGTATATCACAGATAATTTTCATTCATTGTATATGTTACAAATATTCTAAGTATGTAACAGCATTCAATAATTTTTATATATAATAGAAGTATATATTTTGAATTTCAGTGTAGGGTATGTCTTGTTCTAAAAAACAATACTATTATAATACCACATGCTGTTATGTACACTTTTTAAAATTCAGTATGTTTTCTTTATTTTTAGACATTATATATTCCTGAACTATTCAACACTTGAGTAAAAAGTGATCTGTGTGTGTGTGTGTGTGTCTGTGTGTGTGGTGATATGTTCAAATATTTTTCAAAACTTGACATTTTTCAAAACTAATAAAGGAAAACACATTAGTATAACATTACTGAATTTCACCAGATGCAAATTTCTGAAAATGACGACTTTAAATACTAAAAATTTTCATTACATTAACAGATAAGTTAGAATTTGTAATACTACTGAATTCAGAACACCATCTAATTTTTGCGTCAAAGTTGAAGATTTTGCTAGGTCTGGTTCAGTATTTAAGATTAAACAATATTTAGTAGTATCTTTGTGAACAAAATTAATAGGTAAACCACAAAAATCTTTTTTCTTTAAATTAAGGTCACATACACAATCCTTGAAACCTTATGTACCATATGATTTCCTGAGCAAATCTTGTTTTAAAAATCCATGACAGAGAGATAGATTTTACATAGTCCATTCTAAACAATCAAGAATTCCAGAAAACTAGTAGAGGTTTTAAGTATGTTCCTTACAAATTCTTACAATGATAGTAAGATAATAGTGCAAATAAATTTTTAAAAATTCAATTAGAAAATTCCATATCATTTGGGTACAGATTTTAGTGTTCACTTCAGTAAATAGGTACCATTATTTTTCCTGGAAACATATATTCTTTGAAAAATGAATTGTTTACTTCTTGTTTTAGAAATAAAGGCTACATTTAACATATGCCCAACAAGCTCCAGCTCCAGAGTCACTACCCTAGTCTAAATTCTTATCTCTTCTTAGATGACTGTAATAGTTTTCTACTTGGTTTCCTCATATTCACTCTTGCCTACATATTGTCCACACAGCAACAAAAGTCACTCCGCTCCTTGCTTAAGGAATTAACTGTCTCACTTTATCTGCTGCCATTTTATCCATCTCTCACTACTATGCTCCATCCATGGGCTTTCTTCTTCTCAGTTCCTATATTCCTCATGTTATTTCAATCTTCAGTGGTACCTCGGGTCATGAACTCAATTTTCTCCATGATTCTTGTCACAAACTGAACTGGATGAGAACTGAATCGAATTTCCCCTAAAGTCAACATTGAACTTAATCAATGAATTTGATTTGGTTCTCATTCAACTCGGTTTGGGACCAGAATTAGAGAAACAATCAAGTTCATGAACTGAGGCATCACTGTATATATATGTAAGAGGTTTATCTCTTTCTTTGAAACAATTCCATGAGTACTACTGCATATATACATTTTTGCTTTGCTAACTAAGGGTCATTTTTTTCATTCACTATTCTTTTATTAAAGCTTTACTGATCTACATGTGTATGCAAAAATGTCACTTTGGCATTCTTTAATGGGGCAAATAAGAAGTCAAAACAAGAATGAATGTATGAATTTAAAGTTTTGGCAAGAACAGTACACCAAAATAGCCTTAGAGTAACTTTGATAATAATTATTCTCTACAAGAAACACAGTTAATTCAAAATGAAACTCATAGACTGAAAGTTAAAGGGTGGAAAACAATACTCCATGCGACAGGAACCCCCAAAAAAGCAGGAGTAGCTATCCTCTTGGCAGATCAAGTGGATTTCAAAGCAACACTGATTAAGAGAGACAAAGAAGGACACTACATCCTTGT